TAGGGGTTTAGGGTTTAGGAAGGGCAGGTTCACTAATCTGTACGAACCAGTCCAAAGTAATTTGCAAAGCTCATTGTCAGGCTCCAAACCTTGCAAGTGACGGCATGCCGTGCGAAGGGTAAACAGGCAAACCGATATGCCGAGACTTCCTGTTCTGATGTGGGTTTGGTGCCAGGACCATTGTGGGCGTAGTCGCTGGCTTTTGACTCGGGGCAACCATTTTGTCCCAACATGGATAGCTCGATGACTGGCAGATGTTAGCAAGTCTAAGTGCATGCGGCACTTCACTGTTGATCTGAAACGCGCCGAACAAACGAGGGCGAAACTCGTCAAAGGCTGCTCCCCAGCGCTGCTGCCGACAGCATTGACGAGTACCTGAGCAACCATGGCCCCAATGCCCCCAAGTCCAGCTTGGTGATGCAGCAGGTCAAGGCCGGGAACTCGGCAGCCGAAGAGCCCAAGACGTATGAATTCCAGTCCGGCGGCGTGATCAGCATGCTCGAGAGCCTGGAGGAGAAGTTTGTGGATGAGCGTGTGAGCCTCGAAAAGGAGGAGGCGAGCAAGCGACATGCTTTCGAGAAGCTTTCGCAGAGCTTGGAGGCCAAGTTGACTCAGTCCAAGAAGGAGCAGGAAGACAAGACACAGTTCAAGGCCAAAAGGATGCAGAACAAAGCTAGCTCAGAGGGAGACCTTGAAGAGACCAAGACTGCGAAGGCATCGGATGTGAAGTACTCCGCCGACCTGCAGGCTACCTGCGACAAGAAGTCCAAGGCCTACAAGGAGCGCCAGCAGCTCCGTCAGGAAGAGATCGATGCCATCGGCAAGGCCAAAGAGATCATCGCCGGTGGCGCTGTCGCGGGCAGCGCCGAGAAGCACCTGCCGGGCTTGGTGCAGGCGGTGCAGGCGGCGCAGTCGACGGCCTTGGCCTTCCTTCGCTCGGAGCAGCACTCCCCGAAGCAGGAGCAGGTGGCCAAGTTCTTGCAGCGGAGGGCATCGCAGCTAAACAGCCGGGTCTTGTCCTCCGTTGCCTCCCGTGTCGGTGCGGACCCTATCGCGAAGGTGAGGACCATGATCGAGGACCTGCTGGCCAAGCTGCAGAGCCAGGCAAACGAAGAGGCCACGAAGAAGGGCTGGTGCGATGCAGAGATGGCTAGCAACAAAGCCACCCGAGAGGAGAAGTCTGATGCCAGCGATGCACTGCAGTCTGAGATCGACGAGACCTCCGCCTCGATTGCTGGTTTGGCGGAAGAGCTGACAACCTTAGATGCGGAGCTCGCAGAGCTCAGCGGTGCCATGCAAAGCGCCACGGAGCTCCGAAAGAGTGAGGAAGCGAAGAATGCAGCGACCATCAAGGACGCCAAGGAGGCTCAGACGGCGGTCGCTGAGGCACTCACTGTTCTGAAGGACTTCTATGCCAAAGCCGGTGAGGCAACTTCTTTGGTCGAGACGTCTGTCGACGCCTCCAAGCCCGAGGTCTTCAGCGATGAGCCTTACAAGGGCATGGGCGCTGAGGGTGGCGGTGTAATGTCCATGCTCGAGGTTATCGAGGCTGATTTCTCTCGGCTCCAGGCTGAGACAGAGTCCGCCGAAGAGGCGGGCAAGAAGGAGTACGAAGAGTTTATGGAGGATTCGAAGCTGGACAAGGCAACAAAGACAAAGACCAAAGAGCACAAGTCCAGCAAAAAGCAGGCCAAGAGCCAAGAGCTCACGATGCTCCAAGCGGATCTCCAGGGAACTCAGAAGGAGTTGAATGCTGCCAACGACTACTTCGAGAAGCTGAAGCCCGATTGCATCGACACCGGTGCCTCCTATGCCGAGCGCAAGGCACAAAGGGAGCAAGAGCTTAAGGACTTGCAGGAGGCCATGGACATGCTCACCAGCGTCTGAGCCGAAGAGCCCAGTCACACGAGCTGACACCAGCGCTTGCTGCAGCGCGGACACGTCAACAAAAGCGTGTAGCATGAGCATGCCCTACGGCGCGAGGTGCGGGACATTTTCTGGTTCGATGTTTGCAGTAGTCAGTAGTATTCTTGATCTTGGAGGGGAGGGGCGTTGAACATGTCGCGAGGGCCATGCTTGCAGACATCTTGCAACGCAAGTCTATCGGCTCAAGGATTGGCTGATTATGCTTTCAACGAGTTCTGCTTCCAGAGTAAGAAGTAGCCAAGTACCGATCAACACTTCTCCCGTAAGCCGATGCCTGCATCCAGCAGCAGGATCGTGGATGTGCATACTGTAGTCCAGCGACTTAGTGTGTTATTCAGGCAACACCGTGCATCGGCTTCGTGGTGGTTATTGTAGTGCCTGAGGCAGCCTGCCGACACGGAGCACGATTGCTGCTGAAGGTCCGATGCCTGCCATGGTGACGGCTGGGCATCCACAGAGGCGGCAGAAGCCGTGGCTCATGCTTCTTGGGCTTGGCTGCGCAGTCTTGGCCTCGGTGCCTGCGAAACTATCCGAATCTGCGTTTCGTTGTGGCACTTTCCGCGCAGTTGACCAAGCAGCTAACCGCAGATCGGCTCTTCTTCATCTTGGCGTCGCTGCCGCGCCTGTGCTCCTTCCCTCCGAAAGCAAGGCTGACGTTATCCGCTTGGTTCGGGAGCCGCTTCCAAAGGCCTTCAGCGAGTCGGTCACCGCGGCCGCCAAGGCGCTGAAGGAAGCCTTGGAGGCCGAGGAGGCAGTGGGCGACTCTTTTATTGGGCCAGAGCAGGAGGCCAAGCTGGCAAGCCTGGAGCAAAAAGCCGGGAGGCTTGTGCAAATCTATGGAGAGACCTACATCTCGGAGGATTCTTTATCGCGCGATGCTCCTCTGAGGAAGAACCAGGTCCATTTCGAAATGGAGGAAACCATCAACAGCTTTGAGGGTGCAATCAAGACTGACAAGCTGCCCAAATACCGGAAGGAACTGATTGAACGATTGCAGACGGTATTAGATTTGGCAGAGAAGAGCGGCGTAGAATAGATGGCCTCACAAATATACTGTCGACTCAGGTCTGACGAAAAAAAGATATAGTTCGTTCTTTTCTATATTATACAGATATACATATATTACATACATTCAGTTTTTTTGAGAAAATATACACGATGATATGAATGTTCACACACACACATATATATATAATGATAATAAAACTAGAAGACATGTGGCCC